CCTACAGACTATCCACTAATGCGAATTTCTTCGTAATCCGTTGAGCCGTTTAGGCTATAAACTCTAACAAACATCCATCCATCTAAACTTTCGCATTTATAATATTAGTATGAATATGTTGTACTCAATGTTACCTATATAGGGAGATTGTATCGTCTCATTTAACCTAGGAAAGTGAGTATTAGAGTGGAAATTTGTATGTCGTATTGTAAATATTAATAATAAATAGTATTACAAAAATGCTATGTACATTTTTATATAAAACTATAGAGGTTAATGGTGTGTAGTTGTAAACTGTAACCATGCTTTTTAGTTAAATTAATCCTTTTATAACCAAGAAATTTATCATATCAGGGGTGGTTAATCGTTCGATCGCAAAACATTGGTCGATTAATCCAGTCATTGGCCAGGCAAAACATAAAAAATATACTGAACTACATTCTTTTATCAAAGATTGTTAATGTGTACCACCCCTGGTATATAATTTGTTTTTAAAAATCCAAATGCATCTATCAATTTATGTGATGATACTTTTTTTTTTTTTTATAATACGAGGTTACAAACGAGCAAGCGGCCACCTAAATCCACCGAAATGGAAAGCGACCGCTGCCCATAAACATCCGCAATTGCAGATGCGTTGCCTACCCTAATTGACGGAGGAGGAGACGCACATAAAGAGGACATTTCCCCTTCCTATGTGTCTCCTCCACCGTCAAATCCACTTTTCCCTCCCATCCTTTCCCCTTAAGAAAAGGGTGGAAAGGAAAAGGGACTAAAGTTAGGCCTCCGGCACCACACTCATCAGACGAAACGCGGAATTGCTTCCACTTCACGCCTGTTTTCTGTGTGGACTTTTGGATTAAGAAGGAATAGATTATGTTGTATAGAAAAAAAGGTTAACTAACTTTGTACAAAAGTCACAATCAACTACAAGAGCATTAAATCATGTCCATATATGATAATCTTGAATGAATAAAATATCCTTTTGGGATATGAATGTGTGTGGGGTATTTAGCCAATATTCTATGATCTTCGAAGTATATTTATATCCTTTCTACTCTTCTATTACTAATTTCTATTTTCTAACTCACCCCTATCCTTCGTTGTAACGCCCCTGTGTATTTATAAGATCGTATATCTAAATAAAATAATATAGTGATGACCCAAAACATAAGGAATAAACTATTCCTGTATTTCTTTTATGAGAAAAAGTTTAGATATAATAAAACAAGTGGTTATTGTGCGACAACCTTAATAGATAGATATATGCTATCGGACTTTAATTTAGCAAATTTAAAGGGCTACAATTCTTCCATACACCATTTTTATGTAAGTCTTATAGTTTAGGCTACGTAAGCAAAAATACCCTAAAAGTCGTCTCGCGATTTTGAGCTAAACTATTTAACTACGTCGTAGTCTTTGACTCCATAAATCAACCAAATATTATTATTATTATATATTTTTTTATTAACCCGAAAGGTAATATTGCACCTGCAATAAGAAAGAATTATCAAAATCAGTCCACTTGCGACGGAGTTATGCCGTAACACATAAAAAACATACAGACGAATTGAGTACCTCCTTCTTTTGGGAAGTCGGTGAAAAAATCATAAGGTGTTTACACATTAGAATTTCTACGTAATCATTTATTCAAATTCAATCAATGTATGAAAAAATATTTATAAATAACTACTCTACCACCGCTAACAGCTAAAGGAGATGGGTAAAATAAAACAAGCCATTTAATTATTGCAAAGATTCATTTTAGTATATTATAATAAAAGCACCTGTCAAAGTATAAAAGATTTTCATCTTAAATTTTCAAGCTTGCAAAATATAAAAATTACATTATGGGCAAAAAAGCAATCTATAATAACAAATCTAAATTTTCAAACAGTATCCAAATCTAAATTTATACACACTTAAAAGCAAGATTTTTTTATATATTTTTTTCATCAAACTTACCGTTTTAAACATTTATTCATTTCATAATAAAATATTTACATTTAAATAATATTTCAACTTCTCGAAGTCTGTTTCTTTAAGGGCCCTGAAAATCTATTTATTAAACCATCACCAAGAAAAATGTCTCAAACTAACTCAAGCAAACCATCACCCAAAAGCATAAAAAATGGAAACGCTAAATAGCTACTACGTATAACCGTTCCCACAAGCGTTATAACTGTTAAAAAACGGTACCTGTTAACGCGTTACTTTACACTCGCTTATAACTAAGTGCGGGCCGTTTCAGTGATAATTACACAATTTATATGGGATTCGAACCTTTGTAAATCCCTTTCTTCACCAGATCTTCCATCGTCGGCCGCTTCGGGAAGAATTTCCTCAGGACTTTTGTCACTTGAGATTTCTGAGTTGAAATCTCAGTGGAGTCACTTAGGTCCTCGTTGCTACTCCCGCCGGCTGAAAGAGGCAAGGAAACAGTAAAGAGTGTTAGAAACAATAGACAGGACAGTTAGAGAAGCGAGAAGTTGAAGATAGAGAAGGAAAGAAGGCCAAATTCCCCAACCAACTTAAACCACATTGTAAACCTATCTATATGTTAGAAAATAACAGTCACAACGTTTAAACATATAAACGACATTACATAACTAACATGGTAGGTTTCAAGTATTTAATAACAAAAAAACGGTGTTAAAACAAACGATTACGTTACACAAAAAAACCGGGTCAGACCTTTACTATAATATAAAGAAACATCTGAAACAGATTTGCAACTATTTACCTTTTATATCGACGAATTCTTCCTAAAATCACTATAACCAATCATTTTAAATCGATAATTAAAAATCATCGATTCATAAATTTGGAAAAACGATATCGCGTTATTAGTCCCGTTGTAACGTTCAGAAAAAATAACCGTTATTTAGACGGACATCACTCTAACATTGTGGCCGAATTTAAGCGGGAATTGGTTATTGGTAAACATTTTTTTTTTCAGAATACAAATAATATGAAATTGTAATGTGTGTTGTGTTTCATTGTGAAGGAAATGTAAATATAACATATTAAAAATTAAGAGATATGTGTTTCCTAATAACCTAGTCTTGTCTAAAAATATGCTCTTATAAGGTAACAAAACAAAAAGCTGTAAATTTGGTCAAGTTCTGTAGATAACTATAGATTACGTTAGAGATATCTAAAAAAGATAATAACATAAATTGATTAATGCTTGATATTTTATACTTTGATTGTTATTTTTGTACATAAATGGAAAATAATCGTAAATTTTCATTGATATCGTTAGGTTACGCCAAAACAAAAAGTTACGATACGCTTAAAACGTTCTAACAAAAAAAGTACTAGGAACATTGACCATTATAAATTGATAGGCTATAAAACACAACAATTGTGGCGCTGACAGCAGCTGTGGCGATTATTCGTACTAAATAGAATTAATTGCCAGTAACATCAAAAATTATGTTTAAAACTAAACCAAAAACTGTCATTTCTAAGCAACCGATCGTTTAATACAGCTCAATGAATTAGGATCTTGTCATGTCTCATACCACAAATTAAAGAATTATTTACTAATATTGTTAATTAAACCAAAACAGCCAGTCATTTCTTAAAACTAGTGATTCATTTGTTTCATAAACAGAGTTTCTCGATTACTCATAGTGACGTTACAATGATATATGGAATCTATTATGCTTGGAAATTAAATGAAAAATTTGATAATTTGCAAGACAAAATGCAATGGTAGTGCCCGCTTTAACATCTTAGCACTGCAGGGCCGGCACGCCCGGTGTAATACCACGACCACACCGAAGACAGGCGTGAAGTGGAAGCAATTCCGTGTTTCGTCTGATGAGTGTGGTACCGGAGGCCTAATTTAAGTCCCTTTCTCTTTACCACCCTTTTCTCATAAGGAGAGGATGGGAAGGGGAAGTAGATTTGATGGTGGAGGAGATGCATAGAAAGGGGAAATATCCTCTTTATGTATGTCTCTTCCTCCGTCGGATAAGGGTCGGCAACGCATCTGCAATTGCGAATGTTTATGGGCAGCGGTCGCTTCGCCATTTTGGCGGATTCAGGTGGCTGCTTGCTCGTTTGCCACCTTATGATATATATAAAAAAAAAACATTAACTAGGTAATGCTATACAATACGTTTTTTTTTGTAAAATGAAATGGCATCCAACAACTGCCAACTGTTTCTTCAGTTTGCGTTAATGTTGCCATAATAGATGTTATAAAAAGACGATTTTATAACGATATCAACTAATCGTTAAATCATTGATAAGCTATTTATATGATAATTTTACACGTCAATATGAATGTTATTTACAAATATTTTTTTTACGTTTTACAGAGCCGCTGAAATGCTGAGATCCAAAAAACTGTTTTATTTTCGAATGATGCTTTTCCGTAGGACTCTTCTTTGGTTTATCCATTATTGGTTCTGACTTTAGATGCCAGAAATCGGTTACAACATGCACTAATTCGTGATCCATTTTAAAAAAACGAACATCACATTGAATAAAAAAAAAATCGGTATAAAAAATATCGGTTCACATCGGCACATCACTATAACACGTGCGACATCCGCGGATGGTTTATAAGTACTGGGACATAATCTACGATAGGAGGATTTCGATATCAAGATAAGGCCCTTAATATCGCGTGGTAATGACCAAATCGCACTAGTATTGTGTTTTGTAATAAGCAATCTATACTATTATAATAAAGCGTAAACACATACTTCTTTGTTTCCTAAGATGTCAGCAATTACAGCATATTTTTGAATAATTCTTTTTTAAATAAAAAGCCATACACTCACGTCACGCTTTAGGCTATATATTTTCACGCTATTAAACTTAGGGATAAAAAAATTCTCGATATATTTTTTTAATTATGGGCATAAATTTATGCAATTCGTTTAGAATAAATTACAAAATACTTCAATGTATTTACGCGATTTGTTTTAATGCTCTCATTATTTCAAAATAGCCTCTTATCAGGTGGCATATAAAACAAGTTAAACAATACCTTTTTTGCAATATATGAAAAAGTTCTGCAATAAATACCCAGATAAATTTATTACGAAAACTTTACCTTCTACTTTTCACTGTACCTAGCTTTATATATTTATTACTTTACTTAAAAATTAATAGAACAATAAATAACCTTTAAAATATAACAACAATCTTACACGATCGTTTTATTCGAAAACCATCGACACAACCGCAAGTCATAATTCAAACGCACATCACTATTTTCAAATGTCAAATCATAGTCAAATAAAAAATCACAAAATTTTAATGTTAATTAAAAAGTAATCGTAACACATTATTAAATTAATTATTTTGAAAATAATGTCTGTCTATGACAATGTCAAGTAACTGAATAAGGAAAATTCAACATTAATGCCGTCAAATCATTCAAATTCCAGGAAAACACGTAATAAACCTTATAAGGAATATAGGCGTATGTTTTTTTTTTATATTTTTAAATTTAATTCAAGACAAATATCCACGCATATAAAATTGCAAAGAGCAAACTGAACTCGTTTGAATGTCTCGTGTGTGTTTTTTGTAATAACTTTTGATAAAAGTAATCAAATACACAAAAACATGTATGAAAATTAATATAAATAGGAACAAATATAATATTTTTTTATAGTTATATAGTCATAGACAAATAAATGACAATACTTTGGGATGCAAAAAAAATAATCCGATGACCTAGGCAACTCTCCATCTACTCCTACCTAGATATTGTTCCTGGCGTTTATATTTTATAAAAATATTGTTAAAATGTGTTATGTTTATTTGGTGGTATTATGTCAAAAGATTTCAATGTATAGTTCATTTCAAATATCTTATCGGCTCGACGTCACAGCGCTGTGCTCGATGCGATGTTCCCAGCGGCCGAGATATTTGATGTTTAATATGTTAGAGGGAGATAGACTCACCTTTCTTATGTCGTACGTGTCTCGCAACAGGCGGCGTGCGGCCCAGGCTCTCCAGGTCGGTGTTGCTGCTCTGGTACTGCGGAGGATACTCCTCCAGGGTCGGAGGTCCCTGGATAAAGACAGAAATACTTAAATCTCTTCTGTTCTTTTCTTAGTACAAAGGACGGATGCAGGAGTTGGCACGTCGTCAGCAAGAGTACTCGTACGTCTGGTGTGCCAACTTCTGGATAAAGACAGAAATAAGCTAAGATTTCTGCCTAAAAGGGAATTCCTGTACGTAAACCTCTCTTTTGGTCTTTTCTTGGTGAAAATGAGTGTGGACATAGAATTTGAGTTGGCACGTCGTTAGTAAGAGTACTCGTCTATCCGACGTGCCAACTCCTAGATAAAGACAAATAATTTCAGATTTCTGAACTCATACGTCCGACATGCCAACTCCTGTATAAAGACAGAAATATATTCAGATTATTGCCTGAAGGGGAATTCCATTACTTAAATAACTCTTCAGTTCTTTTCCTAATAAAAAAGGAGTGTAGACAGATTTTGAGTTGGCACGTCGTTAGTAAGAGTACTTGTACGTCCGACGTGCCAACGCGTAATTTGTCTTACTTACGAGGTTGTATATTATATTTTGTATGAGGAGGAGCAACTGCTTGGCTTTGTCGTCGCTCTCGTCCTGCAGCAGGTATGTGTCGTAGCCAACCGTCAGTGTGAACGACCGAGTGTATCTGTTGGTTATTCGTAATATAACAACATCTTATCTATATTAATATTATAAAGGGGAAAGATTTGTATTTTTGTATGTATTCGATTCACGTAAAAACCACTGGGCCGATTTCAAACATTCTTTCAATATTAAAAAGCTACGTTACCAGTGAGTAATATAGTCTATATGTTTTATTATTTTTTTAATTTCATGCTGGTGAAGTCGCGAGCAACAGCTAGTGCTAGCTAAAAAGTCAATTTGCCACCATCTCCTGTACATCGCAAAAACCCGCGTCTAGTCGGTCTCCATTTTATAACCAGTATAGCTTATTGATATTTTAAATTACCAAACATCGCAAAAAAATTATAACAACGCCATCTAGTTTACAAAGTAGGAAGGTATTTTGCTAAGATCAAACAAAATGTTATCTGAAATTATATTAGCTTTTGCTAGCGACTCCACACGCATGGAATTGAAAAAAAGTGAGTAGCCTGTGTTCTTCCAGACTATCCTCTACTTATGCCAAATTTTTT